AACCCAGCGGCAGCGCAGCAATGGCGGCTCCGGCGTGGCCCCCTTGGCAGCTCCCAGGTCCCGCCAACCTCCCGGCGGAGGACGGCCCGACGGCAGCCGGGCTGCTCTCACCACTGCTCGGAGAGGGGCCGAAGCCTCGCCGGTGGTAGACTCATCGTCCGTGGCCGAAGAAGATCCTTCCCCTCGCCTCGTATTCGCGGGCGCGTTCGGGTTGGGACGCGTTGACCTTTGCAGCTTCGCTCCCCGCAGTCGGGCGGGCTGGTTCGAGGGTGGAGCTGTCGAGAAGAGCCCTTGTCTTTTGGGAGCGGGTTCAGGTGGCAAACGCTGGCAGCTCAAACCCCTGTGTTTATGTGATTCTCAGCTTTTTAGGTAACTTTAACTGTTCACGAGGGATTTAACCTTAAAGTTTGAGGAGGAGCGGCCAGCGCTTGACTCCAGTGGAGTCTCGGTCCTTCCTGCAGAGCTGCTCCAGCTCTCAGCTGGAAAGGGCTCGGCGCCGACTGGCTCTGCACGTCGGTGCCTTCCATCCGTGCCTTCCCTGCACGCTGCTGTTCGCCGCCGTCGGGAGAGGTTTCCCGAGCCAGTCAGGGCTTGGCCCGACCCAGTTACTTCCCCGCTCAGAGCGACCTGAGCCAGTTTGGTGCATTCAGATACAGGAAAAAGCTGGAAATACTTCACCTGTGCCACTGTTAATTTTGAAACAACCTCAGAGTTTAAATGACTCCAGTTTACTGGCTTGCTGTGCCCTCTAGAGGACACTCTACTTTTTTTTTCTTTATTTTTTCCACTCACATGGAAATTGTATTTTAAAAGCTGGCTTTTGCAGTATTTGAAGCTGGTTTTGCAGTATCCAAAATACCGTTTAACCTGCCCTGAGTGTGTACTGAAGGTGTGTGTTTTGCAAAGCTTACCGGGGTACACAGCTTTTCAGTGCTGCTTTCGGTGTGACTATCCTTTGCATCACTAAATAAGATAATAAGGATTAATTACTGTTAGAAATTGAATTCCTAATAAATGTGGCATAACAGTTAAGTCTAGAAATCGTTGTTTAGTCTAAGAAATAATTTCCTGATATTTAAAAGTACAAAGCTCGTATGCCACATCTCTTATTTGTGAATAATACAAATCACACTTAAATATTTGCTTCATCTTGCTTGATACAAATTCCTTATGCCCTTTGTCTAAGTGTAAGCCCCAAGGTTCTCGTTGTGAACTTTACTGTTCCTGCTTCTGGCTTTGGGTTACAAGAAAACCAAAACAATTACTTGTGTTGCATTCTCCTAAAATTCTTCCCTTTCTCAAGCACTGTCGTCGTGTCCTGGGCAGTGCAGAAGACTTTGCTGTCCCGGTCCTGTGAAGCTCCTGCTAAACCTCTCAGCAATCACATGCTGCAAATCTTGCTCTGAAATACTTACGCTTTGTAGCTTGAAATCCCAAATCCTGGTACCAAAGGTGATCTGAGAGTTACAGCTTGTGCAGCAGAGGGGAGGCACTGGCGTCTGTTGTCACACCGCGTCATCCCTGTCCCCTTTGGTTCACGTAGTCTAAGATTCTGTTCTCATATGATAATCGTAGGCGATGGAGCCGAGAGGTAATTTATTGTCAGGAATTCAGGTGGAAGGTACAGCCATTACTCAAGGCACTGAGCATTAAAGCGAAATAAAGAGTTAAAATCAGTATAAGTCTGGGTTTGTTTCAGTGGTTTTCGATGAAGTTGCGTGGATGTGTCCGTCTGTTGAGACTGTTACAGGTTTCCGCTGTAAATAGCAGAAGATAATTTAGTAGTGTTGGTGTAGAAAGAAAATCATGCCATAAAGTACTTGGGTAAGTGAATAGACGTGAATTGTTTGTGTTGGGTTTCCTTCAGATTCAGTAACTTGGGTGGGGAAAGTCACAACTTAGAAATATTTGCATTAGGAAAGGAAAAAGAAAAGGGGGGTATGGTTTTGTCTGTCTGTCAGGACATTCAAGAGAAGCAGCAAGTGACCTGTTTGTCCCTGGATGAGGGGTGGGATGTGGTCTTCCCCTGCTGCAAGCGGAGCCCCGGGAAGCCTCCGTGTCTTCTAAGGGGGGTGAAGTGGCTGATGGAAAAGCTTCGAATTTGAAGGAATTCACCATTCCTATATGTTGCGGCTGCATCTTGCCTCATGGCCTGGGAAGCTTAATATCCCCAAGGAGAATAGAAATTGATTGAACTCGTCCATGTTTGTTCAGAATTGAGAGATTCAGGATTAATCTAGCAGGAGGTTGTAAATAATGTTACCTTGCAGCACGAAGTAGTTGTTTACTTGTTTTTATTAACTCGTTCTTTGTATTTTTCTTTTGATTTGCAGTGAAATAAAGAGAGAAAAGAGAGTCCCCTCACCGGATGTTATAGTGTTATCTGACAATGAACCTTCTAGCCCTAGAATGAATGGTTTAACAAAAATAGCATTAAAAGAGACCAACACGGAGGCGCTCATGGTGAGTCGTCTTGTCTTGACACACTTTAAGTTGTGCCATCTAGAAAGAAGAAGACACGACACTTGTTCCCACGGAGGCACCGCGATCGTGGGGTCGGGTGGATACGTGGCTTTATAAGGATGGATTTGCAAGCAGGGAATCTTGAGCCTGTTAAAGGCTGATGTTTTTATTGTTTTCAGGCTCTTACCTCCTTGATTTTTATATGCTTCGAAAGTGCACCTTTTTCAGAATGGGCTTTTTAGTGGACGCAATGTCCCTTATTCAGTATGGCATAACACAGATTTGTTGTCTGACTCTTCATTTGACTTTGTTTACTTGTTTTACTGGTGAAAATATCTCAAAAGCTTTTTTTTTTGCCTTTGAGTTCTTTCTCCACGCTCAGCTTGTGTCCATATATTGCAGGCATGTCGGTGATATTAAGACATACATGACAACTATAATGCTGTAAGTTCTTGTCGTAACTTGTACGGTATCTATCTTTTCCCTCTCTCCCCTCCCTGTTTTCCCATCCTCTATCGCCGTACCTGGCCCTGCAGAAAAGCAGTCCAGAGGAGCGTGAGAGAATGATTAAACAACTAAAAGAAGAGTTACGGTTAGAAGAAGCAAAGCTTGTTTTATTGAAAAAGTTACGGCAAAGTCAAATCCAGAAGGAGACCACTACTCAGAAGGTATTTATTTTCCTACAGATACATATCGTCTCATTTTTTGAAATGGAGGGGGGGAAATGTAAATAACTGTGGCAGTTGCCATAACCTTTGGAACATATGAGAGCTTTCAAATAAAGCGTATCTCACTTTTCATAAAATCTTTATGAAGTTTATAGTGGTTTATCCTGTTAACCGTTCCTTTTTGTGGAATTCCTTTTTTTGTCTTGCCAAGACCAAACAACAAGACAGTTTATCCTACCAACCATATTCAAAAGCTGAAGACCTTTTTGTTAAAACTCAGATGCATTTATGAGTGTAATGTACTTCCAATTATTAAACGCTCCGTCCAGTCCTTAATGCCACGTAGAGATTGCTGAAATACATTTGGAGGAGGTTCTTGCACGTAACAAATGTGCTGACAGGTAGAGTTAAAGCGTTTGAACCCCAGACTCTGGGAGCTGGCGGCCGAGGGCTGTGTTTTGTGCTGCGTGGCAGAAGCCCAGGTCTGGATTCCAGGTCTTACCAGGTGAAGTAAGCCTGTGGTTAGCTGCACGCTTTCATCGTCCAAAAATCCAGGCAGCCCCTGGAAGGAATGGTTCAGCCCTCCCACCCTGAGCTCCCTTCCCTTCCTCCTCTTTTCTCCCCACCCCTCATCTCGCACAACCACGCGCAATATCCAGAGTGCTGGGAGGAGAACTGTTTTCCTCGGGGAAGAAAAAGTCTACCTTTTTGTTAGAGCGGTTGCTCGGTCTGCTCGCTACGTGTGCCGCTCCTGCTGGCACCGAAGGGGGAGAGGTGGAGGGTGGCAGGAGAAGAGCAGAGGCGGGTGGGAGGCGAGGGGGCGTGCGAACACCCCACGCGCTGCTATCAAGGCAGAGGCTAAATTTCAAATATCTGTAACAATGGCAACTAAACGATTTTATTTTACAGCGTGTGATGCTGACTTGATGGATTTTGTGATGGGGGCGATGTGTAGATTTTAAGTGCACTTCACGGTGCAGATGGATGTTAATACAGCTCTCTTGGCTGCTTTTGGTTGTTCTATGGGCGTCTGTCTCCCGGACTTCTGAGTGCTTCAGTAGATGGGATTAAAACTAACGCAAGTACTTGCATCGCTCAACTCGCTGCTGAACGCTGGGCAATGAGCTCTGGGTGTTTGAACTAACTAGGGTGAAATGACATATCCCAAACTTCTTAATATCTGAAGTCTTTTTCTGAAACTTTTTTTCACTTTGCGTTATGCTTGAACCTCGTTGGTTGAGACTCGTAGTAATGGTGGATAAGACTGAAGTGGGCTCTAAGCTGAGACTGCTAAAATAGATTTCCACGTTGCTCTGCTGTTGGTGTATAGGCTCTTTTATTCTCCTGGTATAATCTTATCTATACTTACCTAATAATTTCTTCATGTAAATACGCATGTTGAGATGTTTGGAGGAAGAAAGGGATGGGGGAGGGGGAAAACCAGAGTCTTTGAAGATTCTCTTACTGAGGCGCAAGGAGGTAAACGCTTTTATTCCCTTAGCTTCTGTAATTCTGCTTACACCCTTACACTCGTCTGCTTTCTTTCTGGTTTTTCCTCTTCCAGCCTGCTGGTTCCTCTGGGAGTGCTGTGGCCACCCCTCCGCCCTTGGTGCGGGGACCGCAGAGCGTTCCTGCTGGCAAGCCGTCCCTCCAGGTCAGTGGGGTGGGCCAGGCTGCCAGGTTTAGGGCACGGAGCAGAGCAGAAGGTGCACAGCACAGGAAGGGCAGTCCCATCACAGCAATGGCTTGGAGCCAGGTGGAAATTTTTGTTTAACTCCTGAAACCCCACTGTAAGCTTTTTGAGAATGATTGGGGTGGGAGATAAAAGTAGGATGTCACACGGAGATAACTCTCATAAGCTTATTTTTCAGTGGCTGATCATCCTGATCCACTCTGCTGATAAATGCATCCATACTAGTACTAACGACCTTTGGCGAAAGAGGATGCCGGAGTTACGTCATAGAAATATTGTGGCAGCCTGTTGCCGTACCCTCGAGAGACTTAATTGTGCCCTCAGTATGATTAACTGTAAGAGCTGAGTGAATCATATGATTTTCTCTTTTGGCTTGGTGGCTGAATGGCACATGATGGTAGGAAAGATCTGGGTTCGGACTAAATTAAATGAAATGTTGGAAAGCCTTGGGGAAGAAACAAAAAAAAATAAGCAGAGGCAATTGACATCTGTCAAGCTAATCTTCATCTGGAGTCTAGTATCTTGTTTCGCTTTTGGATTTAAAACATTTCTGGTTATTTACCTTGGGCTAATTCGAAAAAAATTTCAAAACTGCTTCAGCACAAAATGCTTTCACTTGGAAAATGGCAACTCTTCATTTCAAAATCCCCTAGAACGCTATACTCGAGGGAAGGGGTAAATTCGCTATCCATTTAGGAAACGTTCACAAAACCTAAAGCAATCTGTCAGTTGGAGTAGTCTCTTCCTTGAGGCAAGTTGCCTTCACTGAAGACAGCACTTTCAGAGGAACTGGACCACGAGTTAAATCTTCAGCGATCAGTGAAACTTCGGTTGGACAGAGCAGAGAGCTGGGAGCTAAGAATCCAGAATTGAAGTTATTCTGTCTAATTTGCGGTCTTTGGGCAAATTAACCTAACCTCCAACTGCTTTCGCTTGGCTCTAAAAACTCTACTAATTCCTGTGTGTAGGATTTGAGTTAACATTGGGCCTTCAGTTGAAAGGCATAACAGAAGCGGCTAAAACTTCCCACCTGCCTAAATACGTACGTGTGCGTACGCATGGTGACCCGTGAAAGCGGGAGCTTCAGTGTTTTTAGAAGTCTTCCCTCGCAGGTGGCAGTCACTTTGGGGCTTGAGCGAGGGAAGTGGCAGGATCTGCAAAGCCACGCGAGTGGGATGGAGAGGTTTGTTGCTCTTGAGCAGTGAGTGCTTCTCGAGCTCGATTGCGTAGCGTTAGTGGTCTGCAGGAATGTTAGTGATGCGTGAAGCCGTATCACCTTTTATAGCGTCATGAGAAATTTTGAGGATTTAATGCAGTCTGCAGCCCCAAAAGCATGGGCTGCAATTTTTCAAATGTCGTTAGCCTGACTCCTTTTCTTTTTCATTTTTCTAAAGCTTTCCCCTTTTCCTGTCTCTTTTTTCCCTTTCCGCATACATGCACGTGCCCAGCCAGCTCACCTCCCTAGCTTCCCGCATCTCCAACTTCTGTCTGCCCTCTGCTTCTCCTTGAAGACAGCAGTTTGTATTTCCCCGTTCTCTTACTCCCCCCAAAAATACACTTTTGTCTGTCTTTTTTTTTATTTTTTTATTTTTTGGCACTAACTGCACTGAAGCCAGCGCAGCCCTCTCTTGTCCTCCAGTATTTCCATGGGCTCAGGACAGCTACTGCATCCGTCACATCAGCCAGAGCGGAGAGCTGCTCTCGTGTACCCCCTGCTCCCGTACTCGCGTTATGGCGTGCCTCTTTGGTGTGTCTCATACAGCAGTTCTTGAGCTATTGAATTTCAGCGGTGGGAGGGCAGGTGAAAATGTCGTTCAGGACTGCTCTTTACCTTTTAAATTCCGTGCAGGATGAGAAAGAACAATCCCCGAGTGTGTAGCCAGACTGCCATCGCGTCCTTACGTATGACTGTATTGCTGCGTAAGATTTCAGATACTGCTTTATCGGCACGCTAAGCGGCAGAAGAGAGCACGTGTATAAATACACCAGAACAAAACAACGCGAGTAAACTATTTTCTGTTTTGCAGACCTCTTCTACACGTATACCAGGCACTGTTATTCCTCCTCCCTTGGTCCGCGGAGGGCAGCAGGCTTCTTCAAAACTGGGAACTCAGCAAAACACGCAGATAGTAATGCCACCTCTTGTCAGAGGAGCGCAGGTGAGTATTTACCTTGTGGTAGATCCGCTCTGGTTTTCCTTAATTCATCTTACCTATTTTCTTAGTCATCTTTCTGCTTGTCTGGAGGAAACCTATGAAGTTCTTGCTGGAATTATTTAATATGGCTGGATGTATTGCTGCTGAAAGATCCTGCATCGTTCATTATGGCACTGTGCTGTCCCATCACGCTTCCAGTGAAGCAAGAGAAAATGCTGTGGTGATGCAGGATACCGTCTTACCTGAATAGCTGCTTCCCTTAGCTGCGCCAAAGCAGTTTGTTTGCCTTTATTATGAAAGTTAATGTACGGGCTTACAGCTTCACCTGCTTTTTAGGAGAGTGGCAGCAGAGAAAATGAAACACAATCCCTCGTTCTTCCATTTCCCCCTTACATTTTTAAATTAATGACGCTATTGTACTTTTAAAAAGTATTTTGTGAAAATCTCAACGTTTTTTAACACTGATATTATACAAACTGGTATTTGTCATTCGAGAGCAAGAACAACTCTTCCTCCCCCCCCCCCCCCCCCCCCATTATTCTTTCTGTCATATCAATTTCACCTTTTCAAATGCTAAAACTCACTTTTTTTTCCTCATTGTGTCTGTCTTGCGATTGAATAAGAGCTGCTGAAATGAGATAGTCAGCTGGAAGTCTGAAAGTGCTGCTTTGCAAGGTCTTTATCGCCTATAACAGAAAATAGCGGTGTCACTACAGGAGCAGGAAAGCAATGTTCAATTTGATACGGTCTTCTAAAGTTATGACTTCCGTGGGATACCAGGAAAAAAATATTTCCTTGTTAAATGAGGATTTATTTTGCAGTGAAAGGTCGGCTTTTATCTGTTGCATAGCCAGCATTAAGGAGGAAGGTAGAGATTTGGTATTTCATTTTCTTTCTGTTCTGATTATGGAGAAAAACTCATTCTGAGAAGTAGCTTTCCTAATGCCTTTAAAGTGAAACAGGCTTAACAACTATACATTTTGAAAGAACTTTAACTTGGAAACTTAAATTTTTTTTTGGCACAGCTGTTTTGGTCATAATGTGATGGGCTCACATACGAGCATCTCTTTTCACGTTACGTTCTACTTGTTTCATTTTGACAGAGGGAAAGGGAAAAACACCGCGTTTTGACACGGATGTTAATTGTCACGCTTTCTTTGCGTTCCCTGCCTTGCCTCATTTCCACTGTCTCGTGCCATCCCATTCGACTCCCACCGCTTACTTCCCACTGTCTAATCCTCCCCATCGTTCATGGCACCATTGCATCAGCCCATTTCTGTGTCTTCCCAGCAAATCCACAACATCCGACAGCACTCCAGCACGGGGCCGCCTCCGCTGCTGCTGGCGCCGCGCGCATCGGTCCCCAGCGTACAAATTCAGGGGCAGCGAATTATCCAGCAGGGGCTGATCCGCGTCGCCAACGTCCCCAACACCAGCCTGCTTGTCAACATCCCGCAGGTGAGTTCCAGAAAGGATTTTGTGCCAAACGTAACATTCATCTCCGAGGGACAGATAAATGGTTTTAATTACAGATTATCCGGTTACTGTATCTAATCGGCGTGGCCTGCTGTCATTGAACTGATGCGGTGGTTTATTACTGCTCCTTGTTCTTCCCATGCAGTCCCTTTTTCTGTTCACATTCACCTCCTGTACAGAGGAATGAAGAAAAGCATTACAGAGTATAGGGAAGAAATACATATTTCAGTGAACTGAACTCATTTCACATTTGGTATTTCAATATGAAGCTGTCCATTAGAATTTTATTTTTTCCCCCCTGTCTTCCTTAAGAAGCATAAATGAGCATTCTGGTAAACAGAGCTCAAAATGGGTTAGCACTCCTGTTTGAAACATGAAGAGAAGCTGAAGCAGCAACTTAACATCGACCACTGATGCTGGTATACAGGTTCTTTCGATAAAGGAAGCAATTTAAAGTCAGTGCTTTGACAAAACCATAAGGAAAAGGACTCCTTTTTTGTTTTTTTTCTTTAGAATTTCTAAAATTGCCTTATAAAAATGATCAGTAAAGAAAAATAAAGTTCTTTAGAAAAAGAATTAGAGCGTTAGATGACAGGTATGGTGCTGCAGTGAACGTATGTATTGTGGTCTGCTTGGTCACCTACAGAAGTAAGAGTTACGGCAGGCGGTTTGGTGTAGCCCCCAGCAGCCAGCCTTCATCGCACACAGACAGCCCCGCGCAGCGTTGGGGCCCGCGCTGCTCTTGCCTCCCTCTCGCTGGAGAAAAGCGCGTGTCCCCAAAGTGCCGAACCGCCTGGCGTTTGTCACTAAGCTGTGTCGTGTTTCCTCCCAGGCTTCACCAACTTCAATCAAAGGTACAACCGTGACATCCGCTCAGGCTAACGCTACTACGACCAGCGCCGCTTCCATCGTCAACTCCAACGACTCGCCGGCCAGCCGGCAAGCCGCCGCCAAGCTCGCCTTGCGGAAGCAGCTGGAGAAGACGCTGTTGGAGATCCCTCCTCCCAAGCCGCCTGCACCAGAGATGAACTTCCTGCCAAGTGCAGCTAATAACGAATTCATTTACTTGGTCGGGTTGGAAGAAGTTGTGCAGAATTTGCTGGAAACTCAAGGTGAGATAGCGTTAAAAATGTGGCTCACAGGCGAGGAGAGAACCTTTCCCATCTGGATTTTATCTCAATAGCAGGCAGCAATGAGTTTCAGGCGTCGCAGGATTAAATTGTCACACTCTGTCAAATCTAGGATTCACTTCTTTTAATATGTTTCAAACTGTTTTAAGTGTAAAATTCTGAAATTTCACAATGTTATGATTTCTCATAGGCTAGGCACTGATTGTAAAGATTTCTCTAAAATGCATCCAGTTCTCCCCAGAGCTGTTGACTTCCTATCAGCCACTCATTTGTCCATCACCACTAAATTCTCTAACCAGTACCGAAAGAAGTATCTGCTGGATACCTACACACACACTCGCAGAAGTGAAGAGTTTAAAGATGTAGTAATGCAGAAGGCTTCAGACGGAGGGGAGTTAAGGGCGGAGGGTTTGCTTTGGGGTTGTTGGGGTTTTTTATGCTGGATGTTGAGGTTTCTCAAGTATTACTCATTCACAGAAGCCCCAGATGGAGCTGAGCTAACCTGGTTGTGTTCTGCAGGTAAAGTTTCGGTTGCTGTATCATCTCGCGAGCCCTATATGTGTGCTCAGTGTAAGACTGACTTCACCTGCCGTTGGAGGGAGGAGAAGAACGGAACCATTATGTGTGAAACCTGCATGACATCAAATCAGAAAAAGGCCTTGAAAGCCGAGCACACTAACCGACTGAAGGCTGCCTTCGTAAAAGCACTGCAGCAAGAGCAGGAGATTGAGCAAAGGATACTGCAACAGACTGCGTCTCCTGTACAGACCAAGTCAGACCCCATAGTGCAGCACCACTCGCTCAAGCAGGTACGGCTTCCTCCACCAGAAAACAGATCTTGGTGACGATGGGGCAAGGGTCCCGCAGCTCCAAGCACAAGTGTTTGGTATGCAGGCACGAAGCCGATGCATGAACTTGCTTTATTTAAGCTCCACAGTGTGTGTCTTTGAGCGTAAGCTTAAAACCGGGCTGGTTAAAGTGGTTTTTGTCATGTGGGGACCTGATATTTAAATTATGTTCTGAAGAGCAGAAGAGAGTGGTGTTTTTCTGCAGAGTCATTGTAATTATCCTGGGTGTTTAACTCATATCCTGCAAAGTCTGTTCCTGAATTTTTTTAGGAGGTACCAAATGTAAAAAGGTGCTCCGGTGCCAAATACACAAGAGTAAATTGGCCCAAGATGGGGGGGGGGAATGATTGGCTTAAGCCAGGAGCACATAATGTTACTTGTGAAGTTTTAAGGTGATGGTAGCAACCATCCATGACAGGGACTGGATCTTGCACATCTTGTAAAACCGCCTTTCAGTTGGAGGAAGGCAGAAGCTACTTAAGTGCTGCTTTGAGTTGAAATAATCGAGGTACTGGTTATTTAGGACAGGGAAGTAGAGTGCTGCCTCTGTACGGAGATGCTTACACAGCACATTTTTTGCTGCTTTGCAGTTGATTATAATTCCTCATCCTTACAGGTGCTTTCAGAAGTAGGAATTTTGTTGTAGAGATGTCTTGGAAGTTTTCAGCTCTGAAACTATAGTAATGCCTTCCAGACCTGGCAGAAGCAGCCTCGAAAGGAGAGAGGGGCAGTAAAGGTTCATCAAGGCTGTTGCACTTGAGAGACAGAACACTGCTATGCCTGTCTTACCGTTTGCTCTCTTGCCAGACTTCTAGCCAGATGTCTCGAGGTCCTCCTGGAGCTCCGCGAGGAGTGTTGCATGCATTTAGCCAGTCACCCAAGTTGCAGAATGCATCGTCTGCAGCAGCACTTGGGAGTAGGCCAGGTAAGCATGCTGAGAGACCTGTCAGCAAGGGCAGCGCTGCCGCCTGGAAGAAGACTCCCATCAATACAGGTAGATTTTTCTCTAAAGTTTCTTTTCTTTGTACTTACTAGCTGCACTCTGTCCAACAATCATAGTTCTTTGGGTAAGGATGCTTTCTCTTTGACACTTCCTGCATGAAAGCCCAATGGTACCGAGGCCTTGCTCTTCGTATTGTTGTGGGCACTTGCTTTTGGTGTGGTTTATGCTCATCGAAAAGGAGCAATCAGGTGGTGCTACCGAATAAAAACTGCTGCTTTACACACGTATAAACAGACGAAATAGATGTGATGTCAGGCTGTTCGTCACTGGGTCCGTACGCACAGCCGGTACCGTGCTGCGGCAGTTTGTCCTTCGTTTCTGGGAGTTAATTCAGTCGTTTCCTTTTGACTGGTGTTTTCTCTTTGCTGAAAGCAACATACAGTAAATAGAGGTTTGCTCTAGGTAAGGCTGCAGTGCACACTCCCAGCGTTCCTCAGGATTTGAAATAACTAAAGCTGTTGCTTTGAACAAATGGCAATTATAAATTCTCATCTAATCTTTTTTTATATATAAGAATCTGACTTGAGAAGAGTCGTTTGTTTTCTTAAATGATAATTAGGATCTCCAGGAAGGAAACACTGTAGCGACTAGCTCTTCTGTGATCTACTTTCTTGCCCAATATTGAATGAATTCTTTTTTTTTTTTTTTTTTTTTTTTTTTAATTCCTGACAGCTTAATGTATCATTTAAAACATCATTTCATTGCAGAGAGCTCTGGCCTGCTCAAATCTTCATTTCTGGTACAAATCTTGCTCCTATTTGTTCGGATGATTTTGGAAGCTTTCATCTTCTGAAGGTGTCTGACCTTCCTGGCCAATAGTGCCCCATCCTTCCTTAGATGATCCGTTTTCATGGGGGAGGAATGAGAGTAGTGTGTTTTTGCCCCTGTTTTGTCTCACGTTTTTATCATACTGTGACACTCGTTCTCTCTTCTCTTTTATATCTCGTCAGGTGGGGCTTTACCTTTTGTTAATCCTAGTTTAGCTGTGCACAAGTCGTCTTCAGCAGTAGACCGCCAGCGTGAATATCTCCTGGATATGATTCCCCCACGGTCCATCCCACAGTCCGCCACGTGGAAATAATGCAGAGGAATGCCCGAGAGGAAGACTTTTCCTGTTTCTGCCATCCTTTTTATACCACATTACAGTGGAATCTGCTTTAATCCCAGCTGGATATGCCCCAGGCTTTATAGGATGCAAGAAGACCACTCCTCATCCCATCGAGTGCTGCTGTCCCTGCTATGAGAAAATGACACCACGTGGGTGGGAAAGACTTAAGCTCATTTGGTTATCAGATTCTTATGATTGACTGATGATGAAGGCTGTCAGGGAAGGGGAAGAATTCTTTTTTTTTTTTTTTTTTTTTTCCCCCCCCCCGGCTTTATGTATTTAGTTCGGATTTTTTTTGTCACCAGCACAAAAGGAGGACTAAACGACTCTCTGCCTTCGGTTTCTTTATTAATAAGTACCCGTTCACCAGGAACATGGTGTTCGTTCACGATCGAGCGTGGATGTCAGTTCAAGGAGAGAGGAATTTCAGCCCGATCTTGCAGATGCATTTAGCGAGCCGAGTTCACGTTTGCTTTTCTTCCCTGCCCCTCCTCCAGCCAGGAAGGCAGTCTACAGATTATAATGTTTCAAAATCTTCTGATGATGAGCTAATGATAAATAAGTGCAAACTCAAATTCCAGTTGAGTATGGTTTTTTTTTCTAAGGGACTGGCTGCCACCAAAACTTGTCTGGTAGGTGGGAAGCAGTGCAGGAGTCTCACTTTTGTTGGATTCTGTTTTGAATAGACTTTGAACTGTTGGTAGTCTAAAATCTAATTTACTGAATAGACAGACACCTTTGCGCAGTCTTTCTAATTCAGCGAAGAGCAGTTGGGCCTTTCATACGTTCCCAGAGACTTAAAAGTGAAACTGTTTTTGATTATTTTCTTTTCGGAGGGTTTTTGTTGTTGTCGTTGTTTTGAGCAATTTTACTCAAAAAAAAAAAAAAAAAAAAAAAAAAAAAAAAGAAACAAAAAGCT